GTTTCTGAAACCCGCGGTTCTGTTCAGAGATGGATGATCTCTCTTTCTCCCTCTTGTTCTGCCTTCACCGCTTTTATGGCACTTCAAAGATACATCAAAGCATGCACTATACTACAGCCATGAACCACACTATCACAGGCTTTCTAGGTAATTTGTAGTTAGAATAGCTGTTGTGTTCAAGAAGAGAGAATAGATGGATAGGAGGAAGTCTAGGAGCTTGTTGACAGATTAAGTGAAATTGTAACTATGATGAATACTATTTCTGTATTGTCCAGTCTTAAAACAAAAAGAGATCAGCTGAAGCCAACCAATTAATGGGGGTTTTTTTCTTCTTTTTACTAACTGTGTTGATAGGAGTCATACTCCCTCCAATGTTACCAGGATGAACCTAGGAAAAGTTGTAATAGGAAGTTCCATCATCCAAGGGAAATATTACATCTCCCCAAGAGGTTTTCCTCATTTTAAACTGTAACTATCTCATATATTTTGGGTTAGAAATGGAAAACACAATTTGAATTGTGAAGATAATTAACCAGTGACACAGTGCATTCTCCATCAGTTCAGATTCTGCAGTGTGCAGGCAGCACTGACCCAAATACAGTTTAGAGCCGTCATGTCAGCATCACTGAGATGCAGTTCCTGGCTGTTTTGTGTAAGAGGTCAGAGACTAGCTGGCCTTTCTGGCCTTGAATACTTGCGTGACGGCTTGAACAAAGTGACTCTGTCATTCTCTGTTGCAGTTCGATGGCATGAGAGCAGAAAATGTCCCTTTCATGATCATCACTAAGAAGAAAAGAAAAAAGTCCAAGTGTCGTAATGTGACCGGGCTGTCACTGTGCCAGGCGCTAACCTGTGCAGAAGGGGATGCATTTAAAATACGGAGGAACTGCGTGTCTTGGGGCAAGAAGACGCTACCTGTAACTGGGTCACCGTCCCGCACCGCGCCTTCCCCACGGAGGGATCCGAACCGCGGCACCCACGTTCCCACCAAACGCCGCGGGGTCCCACGGAAAACACGCCGCGTCCCGCAAGGCCCCGGCCTCGGCGGCGGGGGGAGCCGGGGCCGCGGGGCCGCAGGGGCCG